TCCGTGCCTACCACTTCTGGACTTAATACGAGATTTTGGTCCGGAGCAGAAGTAGCCACGGTAGTAGCCGCGATAGTACTGCTCTGGAGCGGTAGTAAAAAATTACATCCCCTCCAAGCGGTAGTAGCCGCGGCAGTACCTCTGCAGCCTTTTAAGGACACCAAAACTGCCACAACTTCTGCAAACGGACTCCGAATTCAACAAAACCAAGTTTGTTGGAAAGATAACGACATGGACTAACACAATCTTGATAGAAATAACAATAATAAGCAAATGATAAAAGGCCCATAAGAAAATGGTGAGAACCCTTCCTCGAATAAGACTGGTAAAACCTCCAACACCAAAAACGTAATGGAAGAAGCATATGAAATCCGTTTTCGATGTACTAGAGCTTGTCACGAAGATAAACACAAGCTCTAAAACCTCAAAAAGAGAAAATACAAATAAGAATCAAGAAGTATGATGCAAGGATGCAATGGTTTGAGCTCTCGACGATCGATACGATCAAGTTACTCACTTGAGAGCCCCCCTTGATAGTACGGCTATCGATCCTATAACCCGGTCTCCAAACTATCATCATGAGACTGGCAAAATAGAAAACCTATCAAGGGAAAACATTTGCCTTGCACGAAGTCCACTTGAGCTAGATGATGAGGATCTTGACTCCCTCAAGTTGGACCACCTTTCTTGATTGCCTTCTCTCGATGAAGACTAGTTGATTGCTCCCCCATACTCCACTATGTGTGAGCCACTCCTTGGCACATCTTCACAAGTCCATTGACACCACAATGGACGGCGAGCTTCAAGGATGGTCTCTTCGTGATGCTCCACTTGAACTCGCACCGCAATCTTGATGACGATCACCACTTGATGTCATCCTCCATGGGTTGTATGAGATCTTCCTCTTGATGCAAACCCATGGAAACAAACCTAACCCCACACAGAACTCACACATAGATCATGGGTTAGTACACAAAGCGTAATGGACAATGCTTACCATACCATGGTATCACTTGATCCCTCTCGGTACATCTTCTACGCTTTGTGAGTTGATCAACTTGATTTACTCTTGACTTAGTCTTGATTAACCTTGAACCTTTCCAACACTCTTCATTTGGATGATGCCTTGAAGGTAAGCATTAATGATCACACGATCTTCTTCTTCAAGACATGCTTGCAATAAGCTCAACTCTCACATGACCAATCTTTGGATAATTCCTTAATATCACCTTGGTCAACACATAAACTCCTTGAAACCAACACATGGACTTCAAGAAACGCCTATGGACAAATCCTTCAAATATAACTCAATGCAACCATTAGTCTATAGAGAATGTCATCAATTACCAAAACCACACATGGGGGCACCGCATGTCCTTTCAGATGCCACTGTTGGGAAACGTAGCATGCAATTTAAAACAAATCATACGCTCACGCAAGATCTATCTAGGAGATGCATAGCAACGAGAGGGGGAGAGTGTGTCCATGTACCCTCGTAGACCAAAAACGGAAGCGTTTGACAATGTGGTTGATGTAGTCGAACTTCTTCTCGTTTCGACCGATCAAGCACCGAATGTACGGCACCTCCGAGTTCTACACACGTTCAGCTCGATGACGTCCCTCGAACTCTTGATCCAGCAAATTGTCGAGGAAGAGTTCCGTCAGCACGACGACGTGGTGATGATGATGGTGAAGTGATCCACGCAAGGCTTCGCCTAAGCACTACGAAGATATGACCGGAGGCGTAAACTGTGGAGGGGGCGCCGCACACGGCTAACAATTGTTGGTGTGTCTTATAGCGGTGCCCCCCTCCACATATATATAGGTTGGAGAGGAGGAGAGGCAACCAGGGGTGCCCCAAGTAGGAGGAATCCTACTTGGGGTCCTTCCCAATTCGCCCCCCTTCCTTATTAACCAGAGGGGAAAGGAGAGAGGGGGGAGGGAAGGAAGGGGGAGGCCGAATCCTCCCCTTTCCTTCTCCCTTCCCCTCTTTCCTTCTCCTCCTATTTCGGCCCATATGGGGGCGCACCAGACCCTTGTGGGCCGGCCTGTCCCTCTCTTGACCCATAAGGCCCATATCTTTGCCGGGGGTGCCCGGAACCCCTTTCCGGTGACCCGATACGTACCCGGTACCCCCGGAACACTTCCGGTGTCCGAATACTATCGTCCTATATATAAATATTTACCTCTCGACCATTTCGAGACTCCTCTCCATGTCCGTGATATCATCCAGGACTCCGAACAATATTCAATCACCAAAACACATAACGCATATAATACAAAATCGTCACCCAATCAGACCCCGTACTCAGTCCATATGTCTAGACTGTTCGGCATCCCTCCAAACTAGCCCATAGGGTGGATTTGGGCTGCCCAGATGCGTTCATGAAGTAGCATCCAACACACCAGACCCACGCCAAATCCCCCAAAATCGACCACCACCCTCGCCATACATGCCCTCTTCCTCTTTGTTCTGTCATGTTTGTGTCGCCTCCCGCTCCCCCTCGCCAGCTCTGCCGATGTCCACATACGGTCCCAACCCGCTGTGTCATCACCACCGTCCCCCGTCCGCCCAAGACGTCCTTGCCGCTCCGGACATGGTTACCGCCCCGATACATCCTACTCCGCCCGCCATACACCTCGTTTGCCATGTGTTTAAAGAAATGTCGAAGATATTTTTAGGTTCTTTTTCACATTTGTATGCAAATGATGGATTCGTCGGACGGTGAGTTTGCTTACCTGGAGCTTGACGAGTTCATTTTCAAGGAGTTAATTGATTCATAGGATTTGAATATCAATTATGACCTTGATGGAGATGCGGTGGTGATGATTACCATCCTTGAAGAAATGGAGAAAGGAGAGGATCATGGTCTCAACTTGAAGGGTTCGATGCCTGGCAGATAGTTTGTTCCCAGGATATGCTAAAGGGCCAATGGGATCTCTACGCCGACTACTTTAAACCCAACTCGCTATTCCATAAGGTGTTTTTTCAGCGTCACTTCCGGATGAGCAGTCATTTGTTCTTGCACATAGTGGAGGGTGTGCGGGCATATGATCCTTATTTCACACTGAGGAAGGATTGTTGCGGCCAACTATCGTTCTCTCCTATTTAGAATGCACAATTGTTTCCGACGATGCTTGCATTTGGTTTAGCCGGAGATGCCATTGATGAGGTCGTCCGGAGGCAATGATGAAATTTACCTATATCGTGGTATAGATGTTTGGAGCAGAGTACATGAGAGAAGAAAATGCTGATGACAGGGTAATGCTATTGGCAATTGGATAGAGAAATTATGTTATTTTTTTCTAATTTGAACTATTATTGTTGTATTGTTGTGTGTTATATTCATTGTTCTATGTTTTTTGTTTCATTCATTCATCCGCGGTCATGTGTTTACATGAAAATTAAGTTTTGTAAATGGCAGTTGTGATTGGCCGAACGAACAAATGGGGGTTCGCCATCTTCTGTTTGTGGCCACGTCCACAAACATATAATAGAAAGCTAGAGTTTCTGCCTCTCGCCGGCGCCGCCGCAGGTCCGCCTCGTCTCCGGTGGCCCTAGGGCCATGGGGCGCGGTGGATCCTGCCAAGGGCCGGCGTGAGGGCTTCGTTTTCAGTCGTTTTTTCCTGTCTTGTTAGGGTTTGTGTCATGCTCAGGAAGGCGAGACGGCGGCGGCTCCCTGAAGATGGAATAAAGGTCTCCCCGCCTAGCCTCCGTTTCGACGGTGCATCTAGCATCGTTGGTGGGCGTGTGGAGGTGTGTCTCCGGCGGATCTATCTTTGGTGGATTTGCTCGGATCTCGTCGTTGTTCGTCTACGTTCGTGTGTCTTCGGGTTGAATCCTTCCAACCTACGTTATTCTTCATTGGCGGCGGTTGCTATTCTGGTGCGTTGGTCATATGGGGCCTTAGCACGACAACTTCCCGACTGTCTACTACAACAAGTTGTGCCCGGCTCCGGTGATGGAGAGGTGATGACGGCGGCGCGCCTTCGGCTCGCTTCAGTGCTTGTAATCGTCGCTAGGTGGTCTACGGATCTGGATGTAATTTTTATTTTTGGTGGTCGTTATACTGCCATGATTGAAGATGAATAGATTGGAAGTTTTTCGTAAAAAAAAATTAGGCAAGTGAGATGCACGCCATCTTTTTCCGACAAGGACATATTTATACCCTTTTTGTGATAATACGAAAGTTTTTGTAAGAAAAATAAAACCTAGGCTTCATCTCGTTTTGTTCCAGTCGAGGGCGACGTGATGCACAACGTTGACAACTGATCGCACAAGACGCAACCTAGTTAAGATGGCGATGCGTGCACAACGGTCCGTGACACGACGGGACGATCGATGTCCTCTGAGCACGTACGCACGGAGTCGACCCCTTGGATGCCCATCCAATCGAACAGAATTCCCGTGGATCCTCTCCGTATCCGCAATGATTTTGCACTTACGCCTCGTGTGTTCAGTGTTCCTGGCATCGGACCGTGACCCAAATCCACACGAGGAAGGCTTAATTTGGACGAGCACGCACACCAGTCCACGGCCCGAACAGTAAATAGTGGAGCACTATTACTACGAAGCCACGAACGGTGCCTGATATCCCAAAGGAACACCAACCAAAAGCCTCCACGCCTCCTTGTTCACGTGCCACGGCAAAGGGTGAGATCGCTCACGGGCTCGCGCAGAGCTCCTAGATAAAATGCGTCCACGACGGCCGTCAGGTTGAAACCAGCACACCTCCTCGTGCCTCCGTCGCCCTGAGGATCGATCCAAGAGACGGAGAAGCAGACGAGCAGCGATGAGCCGCCGCACCAGGCGCGGCGACCGGCAGCAGCAGCAGCCGCTGGCTCGTTCCACGACCGTGTCCAACAATCCCATCTTCTTCGTGCACGACGGCCTAGACGATGTGCCCGGTGAGTTCGCCAAGCCGCTCCCGCTGCCCCCGAGCAGGGCGCACCTGCAGCCTGCAGGCTCGCGGCGGGCAGCCAGTTCCACTTGCACGTTCATGGCGAGCCGGCACGGGAGCGGCTGGGTCCTGAGGAGGGTGCACCACCACGACCCGTTCCTCGCCGCCTATGTGGCCTGCAGCAAGAGCGGCGGCAAGGTCGACGCCGCCGCTGCTCCGCCGAAGAGGGAGCAAAAGAAGAATAAGAACAGAGGCGATGCCGCTGTGCAGGGGTGCGGCATTTGGAGCGGTTGGACGGCGGCGGGAGCGAAGTACGCCGGAGCGATGTCGTGTAAGTACGGCTGCGACGTTGCAACCGCGAAGGGCGACGATCCTGCCGCGTCCCCGACGCCCAGACTGCACCTGTCGAGGCAACTGGTGGTGATCCCGGCCAGGAAGAGGGCCCTGCAGCCACGGGGGCGGCCGCAGGGCTGAGCGAGGGTGCTGTCCGTGTGTTTGTTTCTGGTGCTGTGGTGCACCCCATGTATACATAGCCAATGTAACGATACTACTCTACTGCAGTGTGTAAAATTGTGCAGAAACATATATGTAAACTTGTATGTGTATATTGTGCTGTGATCCATCATATAGACGAAACATGAAATCAACCGAGTTTTGCTACATCCACGGAGGGTTCACGGGGAATTTACGGGTTTTTTGAATTCAACCCAGAGTACACGAAGCGTTTTTCTCCTCCCTTTCTCTCCATTCTGCTTCCTTCCATGCGAGATCATGGGTCCCCTCTCTCTCTCCGTCCATCGCATCAGCAATACGAGGGATTGGGACAGTTTCGGACCGGTAATGGCACGGTCATGCTTTTAACTTAGGTTCTGGTATTCAGTCGTCCGTGGTGAGGCAATGGTACCATCATCAACATGGAAGTCCTCCCCATCTCGTCCTTGTTGCCATGGTGCTTCTTGGCATTATTGGGAGACGTGGGGTGATGCCCTCATATTTGGTTCTTCAGGTTGTGTTTTTTCTTCTACAGATTTATCTTGGTGGAGCTGTCTTGCGGAGCGGATGATGCAGTTGTGTGTCTTGGTCATCCGGCTCCAATTCTGACTAATGAATGTTTGGCAATTCCGGCCTCGTTGGCGAACGTGTGAGAGTTGTGTTTCCAGACTCCGTTTGGTCGGCCTGCGACGTCATACATGCCCTCTCCGAGGCGTCGATTTGTTATGCGGACCGACGGCGGCGGTATCTTCTGGTCTACATTGACGACTTATCCAGCCACTGCTTCTGCAAGCTCATGCCTTAACAAGTTTGCCTTGCCGAGATTGAGTCCCAAAGGCGGCAACGAGATTCACCAATAGCGCGGCATCAATGGATGCAGAGGGAAGAAGACTTCGGTATCCCAATTATTTGGATGTATTTTTTTATTTTTGTAAGAGCATTTATAAGGGCCTATGCTACTTAATATATGATATTTGATCTTTTCGCAAAAAATATACAGACGAAACATGGCCAGCTCACCATGATTGATAATTGTAACTCATGTTCAAGATCTTACTTTCGCAAGCGAGCTTATGTGTAAAATTGCATCGTCCGAGAGTCATTCAATTGTGGTAGCAGTCACATGGTGACCAGTGAAGGCATCAGAAAAATATTATTTGAGCACCCGCCTCGTCCATAGGATGACACGACTGGTTTCGAGCTGATTACTTGATGGTGAAGTCTTCGAACCTATCATCAAGATGGCAAACTGAAACACCATTTCATGTATGGGGTTGAAAATTCAGGATCTAGACTTGCATTGTCACCTTATTGAATGTTTCGTCTTTGTCTTTGTACCGATGTACTCGTCTTGATTGGTTTGACCTGTCATTTAAGGTGAAGATCTTCGTGTCAATGTCACAACTAGATTCGGCGATGTCGGGGCGGATGCATAATTACTTCTTATAGGCATTGTGTGCAAACATATCGACTTGTTGGAGGTGTTTAGTTGTTATATCTTGTAAAAAAAATCTTTACGCAAGAGAAAGTACGATCCATACGACGTCAAAGTGGCATAATCCATCAAAGCGTCAACCTAAACAACCTAAGAGCATCTCCAGCCGTTCGGCCCTCCAGGGCGCCGAAAAATAGCGGCCTGGGGGCGAACCAGCGCTAGATTGGCCCCTGGGGTAACCTAGCTCCCAGCCACGCCCCCAGGCGGCGCCTCCCAAGCCGCGGAAAATTCAAACATGAACATTCCCGCTCACAAAAGACGCCACAGGTTCGGCGATCACATCGGCCTAGTTCGGCGATCATCAGTTCGGCGATCATATGAAAAGTTTGGCGTACAAAAAAGAAAGGACGCGCGTGCAACGCATCACACAGCGAGGTCGGCCTCCAGCATCGGCGGAGTCGGCATGCGCAGGCTTGACGGTGTCAGAGCTGCTTCGGTGCTGGGCGGCGTCGGCGCGGCTTCTGTGCTGCTGGGCGGCGTCGGCGCGGCTTTTGTGCTGCTGGGCGGCGTGGAGGCATCATCGCTCGGGCTTGGCGGCGGTGTCGGCGTGGGCGTGGGAGTTGGCGGCGTCGTCAACGGTAGCCGTTTCAGGATGAGGGCGCGCTCCGCCAAGTACCACGCCTTGACCGCCTCGTCGTTGCTCTGAAGCATGTCGGCCCCGCCCAGCAGGAAAGCCAGGTCGGTGTTCCTCTTCTTCGCGGCGACGTTCGTCCGGAGTAGGTCGAGCTTGACGGCGCTGCTCGTCATCAACGCCGACCACCGCGCCTCGATCTTCTCTTCACGCCGGGCGGCCCGGGCCTGTGCGTCGGCGAGGCAATGCTCGATGGACTCCTGCGCGCGCGCGGTAGCCGAGTCGGCGTGTTTCCCCTTCTTGGCCCTTTGTTGCCTTCGGGGCGCCCTCGCCCGCGCCCGGCGTCGGCTCGTCCGGCTTGTAGGTCTCCTTGGCCTTGACAAGGGTGTGCCGGACATCCGCCCACTTCTCGCACTTCTCGATCCGTCTGAAGACGTGAAGGTACTTGAATTCTTGGTCGCTACTGTCCTAGCGATACACGGCGAACATGCGCAACAGCTGCGCCGAGGAACAAACAGTTGGCGGGGGCTCACGGCGAGAAGAAGTGGGAGGCCGGCGTGCCATACCTGATCCTCAACGCTGGCGCCGCTCTCTGGGCGAGCCGCGATCTCCTCGACGATCCCATGCCATTTGTTGCACGCCGACTGGATGAGCCCCCAACGGTTCGCCATTTCCTTCGACCCGCGCTGCATGAAGACGTCTTTAAAGTCGGGGTCGACGAGTTTGCGCTCGTCGAACTCGGCCTTGATGCGCTCCCAATACGTGTCGATGCCCTGGTTCGTGCCGGTGATCGGGTCGAGGCAGACGACTTTCCACGTTTCGGCGAGACATTCCTACTCCTTGGACGACCACTTGATGCGTGGCTCGCCGGTCCTGGCCGCCCCTTTCTTCTTGAGTCTCTTCGCCGGAACCGGCGTTGGCTCCTCGTCCTCCTCCTCCTGCTCGTACGGCTCCTCCTCGTCGTACTCGAGCTCGCCGTCCATGTCGCCGTCCAGGCCAATTGTCTCGTCCTGGGTAGTGAACACGGGGGACGCGGCGGCGGCGGCCGAGCCTGCCGTGATGATGTCATCCATGTCGGCTTCGGTCGCGTCGGTGTCGCCAAGGTGCGACGCGGAAGCTTGTGAGAAGGGCAGCGCGCCACGGCGAAGAGGGGGCGTCGGGGATGACGCGTAGGCCGGCGATGAGTAGTTGTATGGAGGGTACTGCACGCCCGCGAAGGTGAGCGACGGCGTGCGCTGGGCCGGGTGACCATGAGGGAAGGTGATGTTGGGGTTGAACCCACCGTGTGCGTCCCCGTCGGCATAGCCCGGCGACGGCGTGCATCCCCAGGGTTGTGGCGACGACGAGAAGCCGGCCGGAGAATCGACGCTTTGCTGGCTCCAGGGCGTGTACTGGGCGTGGCCCCCGGGAGGATTTATCATCCCCACGTGAGCCGCCTCGGCTTGTTCGATCGCAGCCGCAGCCGCGAGCGCCGCGTTGTCCCTGGCCTTCTTGGCGTTGGCCCTGTTCCGCCGGTCGGTGGTACAGCCTCCCGACGCTGGACTTCCGCCCTCCAGTCGGCGTTGGACATGCCTGGCGGCTTGGACGGCGGCGCCCTCGGCTTCCTCTGCTTCGGCTGGGCGGCGACGGTGGTCGCAGCCGTCGCGGCGCGGGGGATCACGTATTTCTTCGGCGGCATGGCGGCCGACGAGGGAAGGAGAAGGGAGATTGGCGGGAGGAATGGAGAGAATGAGAGGGAAGCCAGGAGGAAAGCGGGAAGAAACAGCGGGAAAAGGCCCCCCTCTCACCGACAGAGCAGCCCCACTCCCCTTTTCGCTTGTGACGGCGCCCCCCAGCGCGCCGGGTTCAGCTCGGGTGCATTGGCTGTTATTTCGGCCCAACCCAACAAAAAACAGACTCATGAAGGCGCGACTGGGCCGATTTTTGCATGCCGACACTAAAAAAACGTCTGAAAAGGGCCTCTTGGGAGCGCGGCTGGATATGCTCTAAGAGCCGTAAACCCAAGAGGCGGCGATCCGTGACCTGAGACGACCAAAAACTGCCAAATGTTTATTTTATGTAGTTTGCCAATGCTTTCTTTTGTTGCATGTACTCTGCTTATTTCTTAATGTTTTGGCTTCAATGTTTCACATATGCTTTAAGAAACTAATAATGTGAATGTCTGTGCGTATCTACATTGCGAAAAAAACTTCTTTTTACTTAAAAACTACTCCCTTCGTTTTAAAATAGATGACTCAACTTTATACTGAGGGAGTACCTGCCATTTTGTAGTTTTTTTCCCTTTGAGGACAGTCATTTTTATTTAGGGAGGTTTAAGGACAGTCATTTTTATTTAGGGAGGTTTAAGGACAGTCCTTTTTTTTTCGAGAATCGGACAGTCCTTTTGTACGCTGGCGCCTCAGCCGAGCCAAGCCTGATATACCGCCCAACTGGGCCTCAACGGGTCGGAGTCAGTCCAAACCGGCTGAACAGGCCGAATCACATTGGCACCCCTCAAAAAACAAAAGGCCGAATCACATTGGCGCGAGCCTGCAGGTCCAAGGCCGACGTTGCCTAAATGCGGCCCGCAACTGCCTCCTCGTTCTCTTCCCTCTCCGGTGCTCACTTGGCTCCTGCTCCGATATCCACCTCGTCCGGCGCTTCCACCTCGGACCGGACCGACCACCAGCGGCGCAGGCCCGGCTGAGCCGCACGCGAGGACACTGCCGCAGCGATGCCACCCGCCGCCACCTTCTCGTCGTTCTCCGCGTTGATGCGCCGGCCTCCGCCGCCGGCCCGGCGCCTCCTCGTCCCCCCCGCCGCCGCGCGCGCGCACAGCACTGCCGGGGCAAGCCGTGCTCGCGGCGGCCTGCCGCGGTTCCACTCCCCCTCTCTCCCCTTGTCCAAGGTGAGCGCACTCGTCTTATCCCGTTCTCTTCCGCGTAGGCATTTCGTCGAGCGCTTTGCGTTCGTTCACGAAACCTGTAATATTTGTTCTCGGTAGCTTATGTTCTGGGAGCAGAAATGTCCGTGTTCCTCAATATGTTGTGGTGACAAGACGACGTCTGTCGGATGAAACATTTTTCTTGCCATCTTGTAGACATTTTGTCGAGCAGCCCTCTTGTGTTGGGTTATTTGTGATGTGTGGTGTTCGGTGGCTTCATACTGATCGTAGCGGTTATTGATGTTAATCTGCAGGGTGAGGTGGTTCGCATCCAAGGCGACGAGTTCTGGCACATGACACGGGTGTTGCGCCTTGGCATCAATGACAGGTTTCACTGCTTCCATTTATTTATTTTTCTTGTGTAACTTCTATGTAATACTCGATGATGTCAAGCTTAATTTTGTTAAGGGTAGAATTTCCTAGATATTCACTTCTTGATATACCATGGAACCTACTCCACTATGGAGTAGAAGCTATAGACCAGAGAATTAGTTTTAAGATGTACCAGAAGGCAGAAGCCCTCTTTGGTTAGTTTAGTCCTTCTCCCCAACTTCTTGTATATGCAAAAGCTCCTTTGTGGTGAACCTTTTTGATTTACGACACCATTCACACACATCTAATGACTTTAGGAGATTCCAAAAAATGCTTTAGCCGGTATGCCCATGCACATAGTACAATTGTGTCTAGTATATCATTTTCTGGAAGACCAGTGCTATTTTTGGATATAATATAGGCTCCAGTGTGAATTAGCACTTTGAATCCGATACATTGAGATATTGAAAAGGGGCAAATGCTTCGTAAACAAAGCCATATGATGAAATGTTGTTTTTTCTTCCTGACAAATACACCGAACAGAAGATAAAAGGTAAAACATGCCTTGACCTAGATGTAAATCTTTTTAGACATTTTGTAAACTTGAGCATGTGCTTTTCACGCTTTATTTTGAGATTTGGACAAAAGTGCTTGTTTGAACATGATATTTCCCCTAGTGACATACAGTGAAATCTAATATTTCTACTTGTGATGAATACCTATTCACTTAAATTTCAGATTTCTACAGAAGTCTTCAATTGCACATGATATTTTACCTAGTCATCTAGCACGAAATCTACTCTTCGCTGTATCTTCAGTGGAATTTTACTCCCATTTACATGTTTTAAAATGATTCTACAAAGGATTCTGCACATGTTAAAACTTTGAAACAATCTTTTGAAGGGTCGAACTATTTGATGGGGCCGGTGGCTTAGTTGAAGGATCCATACAAAAGGTTGACAAGAATGGATCAGATGTTGAGTTATTGGAGAACGCCAGGCTCATTGCTCCTCAAGGCATTCAATGGCATGTCTTTGCTGCATTTGGTGAGCCACATAAACTTTTCAGAGTTTTCTTTTTCTTTTGAACTTCCGTAGATTTTCCTGAGTTGATCTGTACATCAGGAAAGTTTTTGCTACTCCATTCCTTGACAATTTCATAATCCCAACCCCCAGGGACGCTGAAAGGTGGACGTGCAGATTGGCTTATAGAGAAATGTACTGTATGTTATGTACTGCTTTATCTGTCCAGTTTCTTGTTTATCTACTTCTAAATCAGTTTATACTTCATCTGTGTAGGAACTTGGCGCTTCCAGTGTTACGCCTCTTTTGACTGAACGATGCCATACGATAGCGGAAAATAGAGTGGACAGGTTGCAACGGCTGGTGTTAGCTGCAGTTAAACAATGTAAGAAGTTTGAGCATCTGTCTATCTGTTCGACTGTTATATGCTGAATGGCTATATGGTAGCTGTTCAGTGTCAAGATACCATTTGTGGCTAAGATTTCAGTGCAGATGTAATAAATTGAAGTATAACTAACTAACTGCATTGCTCTTGTACTGTTTAGGCCAGAGAGTGCATGATATGTCACTGAAGCCCCCAATTCAGATACATGATCTTCCGCTGGCTGTAAGCACTCACAATCCATTCTTTGTGACCTTGCACGTAACACCGCAACCAATCAGATACTCATGCATTGAGTGCTTGGAATTTTCTGTTATCAGGTGTCGCAATCAAAGCTTGCTTTCTTAGCATCTGCTGAAGCGCCTCCTGTTTTGAGCGTTTTGCCAAAGTGCAGCAGCGAGGAGGAAAGCGGGCTTTTAATCATTGGACCGGAAGGAGGTAACGTAGTAAATCTTGCGTGCTTTATATCCATCCATCTATCAAAGTGTTTCAACGAAAGTGACACCTGGTCAGTATTAGCATAAATCTTGCATGATTTGTATCTATCTATCTAAGTGTTTCAACGAAAGTGACAATTGGTCAGCATTAGCATACTAGCATTTTCACATAGATGCTTAATTACAACTTGCTTATCCCAAACACGCACTTATGTTTTTCATCTGATATGGGCTACTTGCACTTGCTGAACAAAATGGTTTTATGCTATGCAAAATAGCAACCCACATATAATGAACAGTAGCAAGATCATAGAATTTTTTTTTTTGTAGTTCACCCATTTGTCGATTCCAGAGGTCGAGAACAGTTGAACACACGATGTAATTGCATTCAATTGAACTTGGTTAGTTTCAAATATGGCTGTTTTCCACGTTTGGTCAGACTTTACGGAGGAGGAGGTGAAGGTTTTGAAGGCGGCTGGTGCGGTCCCTGTTGGTCTCGGTCCATGCAGGCTACGCGTGGAGACAGCTACCATCTCACTCCTTTCTGCGCTCATGCTGTGGTCAGACGCCGCTCAGCACCAAGAAACTCAGCGGCAACGCGGATAGTTCGTACTAATTTGTATAACCATTTATAACATGTGGTTGGACTTGACTTTTCCAAGAGCATGCATGCATACGTAGTCCAATCAGTCAGTCAACTGAACTGGATCTGAGATGGTATAATACTCTAGTATTATACACGTAACTAACCACTTGGCTTTGTTTTTATATTACTACTAAAGTAAAGCAAAGAGAGAAGAAGACTTGTTAGTTAGTCGTCCTGGACGCAGAAGATGGTAGGCTTGACGGGGTCGGTGATCTCGACGGTGCCCTCGAGCATCTTGGCGACCTTGCCCATGGAGGGGCGCATGTCGGCGCGGTCCTGGAGGCACCACATGGCGGTCTTGACCATGCGCTCGACGGTGGCGACGCTGTCGGCGTCGTCGTCGACGGCGAGGAGGATGCGGGGGTCCATGATGTCCTCGATGCGCCGCTCCACGTACACCTTCTCGTACGCCCACTTGGGGAAGTACCAGTCCTCGCTGCCCACCGACTCCTGCCGGAAGCCGTAGTTGCGCCGCCCGGACACGATCTCCAGCAGCACCATGCCGAAGCTGTACACGTCCGCCTTGGCCGTGATGGGCTCCCGGTGGATCACCCACTCGGGCGCCATGTACCCGCGCGTGCCCCGGATCCGCGACATGGTCACCTTCTCCTTCTTGCTCGTCAGTTTGGACAGCCCGAAGTCCGACACCTTGGGGCAGAAGTCGTCCTCCAGCAGGATGTTCTCCGGCTTGATGTCGCAGTGCAGCACCCACTCCAGGCACTCCTCGTGCAGGTACGCGATCGCCCGCGCCACCCCCAGCGCGATCCGGTACCGGGTGTGCAGGTCCAGCATCACCGGCTGCTGCCCTTGCTGCGAGCTCTCCTCGCCGTCCTCGCCTTGAGCGTCGCCGCCGGAGGGCGCCGCCGACGAGGAGCTGGAGAAGAGGTACTTGTCCAGCGAGCCGTTGGGCACGTACTCGTACACCAGCATGCGCTGGTCCTTGTCGGCGCAGAACCCCCACATGCGCACCAGGTTGAGGTGGTGCATGCGCGCGATGATGGTCACCTCCGCCCAGAACTCCGCCTCGCCGCCGCCCACGCCGTGCAGCTGCTTCACCGCCACCGCGCGCCGGTCGGGGAGCTCGCCGCGGAACACCGTGCCGTACGCGCCGCGCCCCACCACGTCCGTGAAGTCCTTGGTCGCCGCCTTGAGCTCCGCGTACGAGAACCGCCGGGGCCCGCCGGCGGGGAGGTACTCCAGCCCCAGCGTGCGCGCCATCTCCCGGTACTGCGAGTACTTGCGCAGGAACGCCCAGAAGGACAGCACCCCCGCCAGCAGCTCCGCCGCGAACAGCGCCGTGATGATGGCGATGTTGCGGATCGTCGTCGCCTTCTGCTTCGGCGGCACCGGCAGCGCCAGCTGCACCGGGCACACCGTGTCGATCATGCTCGTCATCCCCGTGAACGGGTTGCTGTCCCTGTCCGCCTCCGCCACCCGCACGAACGTCGACATCTCCGTCCCCGGCGACCAGTACCCGTCCACCAGCCGCGACTTGTACAGCAGGCACGTCCGGTCGCCGCCGAACTTGTAGCCGAACGCCGGGCAGCCGGGGTCGTCCCGGCACATATTCCTGCACACCGCCAGGTTACTGGGCGGCTGGATAGACATGTACGGGCCAGGATCGGAGGAAGATTTGGGCGCGCCGCTGGAGAAGGACACGAAGTCCAGCCGGACGAACTTGCCGTCGGCGCCCGCCACGCTCTTCTTGGCCTCGCAGCCGTCGTCCCCTGCACCGGTCCTGTTGCGGAAGCCGGGCGGGCAGACGCAGGTGACGCCGTCGGCGCCCTTGGGGACGCAGATGGTGTTGTTGCCGCGGCAGGTGCCCTGGATCCTGCACAGCTCCTGCACGAGCTCCCACACGACGCGCCACTCGCGCCTCGCCGGGAGCAGGCTGTAGAGGCGCAGGTTGCCGTCGTCGTCGAGCGTGAGGCGCCGCAGCCGGTCCCTGGCGCCCTTGTCGGAGGCGATGAGCGTCGTCGGGTTCCCGGCGCTGAGCTTCAGCTCGCCCTCCGTGGTGAGGTTCAGCAGCGTGCCGCCGCCGCTCATGTTGGCGTAGATGGAGCCCGAGGGGTCGGCGCCGCGCTCGCCCGAGTAGTACTTGAGCGCCATGGAGTTGACGAGCCGGTAGCGCCCGCTGGCGGACCGCAGCGTGGTGACGTCGGCGCTGTTGTTGTTCCCCTGGGGTATGTCCTGCCCCGGCATGAGCGTGTCCGTGGGCTCGCCGAAGCTGGACCAGGAGCCGAACACGAGGCTCCCCGTGTCGTTGAGCGTCAGCCTGGGAGCCGTGGCGTTGGCGGTGTTGGGCAGGGTCCAGATGGTGCTGCTGGCCCCGGCCCAAGTGAGCACGCCGGCGGCGTCGACGACGAGGGTGGAGCTGCCGTCGGCCTCGACGACGACGCCGTTGGAGGCGTTGTGAGCGTACCATATGATGGTCTTGCCGTCTGCGCGGGAGGAGACGTTGGCGACCCAGACGGCGAAGCGGTACTTGCCGGCGGACGAGACCGACGGCACGAAGCCGGCGGCCATGCCGCGACTCGGCGAGACGAGGATGCGGCTGGCCTCCGTCGGGAGCCAGGGCCTGGCGTCGTTGGCGGCGGGGAAGGAGGGCATCTGCTGAGCCCGGGCGCCGGCGAACGCCAGGAGGAGGAGGAGGCATGGGAGGAGGGCCATGGCCATGGGGAAGGAATTGGGGGGGGATTCGATCGGAGCCGACCGACTGCGGCTGGAATGGAAATGGATGGATGAATCTGGTGGAACTCGGCTACTTCTAGTGCTAATCCCCAACAGTTAATTAGAAGCACCAATTGTCCAATTTGGAGTAGTATATTGGTTGTGTTGAGAGTTGACTATTCCTAGTCTTTGTCTGCGCGCGAACGGAACGGAACAGGACCGAGGAAAATTGATTCCCCGGGAGCGATGGCTCTTGACGAGATTGGTCTTGGACGACCTGGCATGGCTGCTCACTGATTTTGCAATTCGCGTCGGACAAGATAGCAGCCTGTGATGTGACCCATTTTGGCTATTCATTCTTCTTCACTGGGGCAGGAAATGGGTTGTGCTAGATTTTTGAACACGAGAATGGGTTGTCGAAAGGGACGAAAATGTGCTGTGAAAAGTGACGGAAATTGATCAGATATGGGCAGAGCTGCCAGTTTGTTTTCGTATTTTTTGAAATGGGTGATGCCCTGAAAGTGAATGAGCTATAACGAAGAGTCCCTTGAACCGTGCCGTGGGTCCCCGGTCTAGCTGACCAAAGCCTCTCTGTGAATACTATAATGTTCTCACGATCAGTGTGTCGCTGATGCACAGAAAACTAGTATCATAGAAAATGTCCATAATTACCGAGTACTCCCTCCGTCCGAAAAAACTTGTCCTTCAAATGGATGTAAGGGAGTAAAACTTAACGAAACTACTTCACAGCCGACCCACCATGCACGATGCATGGACGATTGACCATCTGATGGGTGTGATGCACTTGGTTCCTTCATCCGATGGCTGGATGTGACCATCGTGCGCAAATCATGCATTAAGTATCATGTGTATAGCAGCGTTGAAAACTTAATACCTTGCTAGTAAGGTAAGGTGCCCGTGCGTTGCTACGGAACCACAATAAAACTAGTTCAGCTATGTCTTGAAGTTTGATAAATATTTTCCATAATTAAGCGAGTCATATGAAGGGGACATATATGTGGATGATCAACTCAAATGTCCAAATACAGCCCTTTTGATTGGCATTAGTAGTTGGAGTGCACTCAAATACTGCACCTTAACACCAAATAAAATGAAGATGACATATACACCCAATGATACGGACATACGGTCTTAAGTATAATGATTATTTATGGGGAATCATGTGATCTGTTTTCATATTTTACCAAATGTATAATACTTCACGACACAAAGTTTGGACCGGATTATGAAAAATTCCCTTTATGAAAGATGCTTACAGGTAAAATGAAACATATTGCCAACACAAGTTGCACTCGGTCATCAAACGCATCAACACAGATACAAACCTGGCGGTGCATATTTCATTCAACACCTATGCCTCGTCTTCCTCCTCTCACCTCATGTGCTCCAGCGACATCGTCGCCCCTTCTCACCCATGCCTCCTTGCTCTAACCCCATCCTATGGTCACCTTACAACAGTGAAAGAAGAGGTTAGTACGGTAGCGGAAAGAATAGTGAACGCGCATCATAGTGGTTGTCTTCGAGAGTTGTGTTTATTATCAAGAAAAGATTCCACACATAAATATATTGTTGTGGGAGTAAGACCTCACACCCATGCATGCATGTTTAAAAAAATAGTGTTTACACCCAAAACATTGTTAATGATCCGATTGAAAAACTGAAATTTAATTCGTTAACGAGCGTTTGTTGTAGTGCACATTCTCTAGTGGCTTCGATAACTCGGGGTCATCTCTTGAGGAAAGACACGAAAGCCTTTTGCTATCTATACCGGATTTGCGTCACACTGCGATCAAAGCGAAGCTCGGTATGTGATGGTTAGCGCCTGTTAATGGCGGGCCTACGCTTCAAGTACACTAGAGTTTGGTCTCGGCTGTGACGGCCAACCTTAAATGTGAACGTCGTCTGCTTCACTCCTTTCTTAATGGAAAAAAGGAATTTTGAGCAATTTTTATTTTTGAAACTTTGCAAATTTTGAGTGAGTAAGGACTAAGGACTATAGATATGCACTTCACTCGAATTGAAAAAGAAAAAGAAAAGATTGCACTCTCCGTGACGAATCTGTGGCCACGCCGCCCGTCCCGCCACCGGGAAACCCATCTCCACCGCATCGGCCCGCTTGCTCTTGCTCGGCATCCTCGGCCGGTCTTGCTCTCGGACAGGGTTTCGCCGCGTACACCTAGCCATGGCCGCCTCGCTGCCACGCCTCTCCCTCCCGCCGACGGCCGCTCTCCCTGCCGTCGCCTCCTCTCGCTACCGCCCCGACCTCGCC